AATGAAAGTGTGTATAAATTTACTGGCAAGATAACCACTAAGGGCTCTCTTTTATACATTGTAATTTATGTTGAAGGGCCATGCTCTCAATTGAAGGCCTGTCTTATATATGTTTGCTTTGAGTAAGTCAATTTCTTATCATTCACCCCGTTTCCTAAATGTAAAAGATTTTACATTTATATTTTCCTAAATCCAAAAGATTTTATACGTTTATATCTATAAAAGATTTAAGTCTCTTGATTTTGTTAATCCAGGCAGACCTGTGATTACTGTTACCATATACTCTGGACTCCAAATTGCACTTTAAATGTTACACTTAGTTAAATAGAAAGCTTTGCCAAGTTGGTGTTCTCCAAACTAAAATTATGTGTAGCAAAATCTCTGATTTGTATAAAAATAACAAATTTGGTTGGTATTTGTTCATGTCATTTGAGGTTTTATAGCTGGTTCAAGTAACCTGTTGTCAATAAGTTACATATAAGTTGCATAAAGTAAATCTTCACACAGCAATTGGAATTTAAATGCACTTTGGGGAGCTAATAAGGAGAGCCTGATCTTTTTAAAGGTGAAATTTTAAAACATGGAAGCATTTTGCCACTTTTTCCACAAAAGAAAGTTAAAAGCTCTCTTATCCTTTGTTTGATTGATGTTTCAGATGTACTGTTGTATTGTGTTATGTGTCAGGGGCCCCACCTTACCTGAGATCAAATTCTGCCTCGCACCTTACTACATGTTAGAATGGCTCCAAAATAGACTAGACTTGAGAACATTTAGAGTTATGATAGGTGGGGTTGTCTGGAATTTGAAGATAGCTCCAATCTGGTAGGTGCTGGACTGGTTGGCTGGGCAAGGTGATAGCAAGGTGCCCTCACACCCTCTTCTAACCTTCTGACCTGATGTAGCCAGCCCCATCTATCCCCATGTCCTGCCCACATCCCGCCCAGTTGATTGAAATGAGTTGCTCTTGGTGGAATGGCTGGATGCAGAATAAAAGCTAAGAAAAAGAAAGTGATAAAACCACAAGACGGAGAAAGTAATTTTGAAAAGCGGGGGCAGGATGTGCTAGCCGATCTTAGGGATCAATCTTTCACACTAACATGAGCAACATGGAGCCTGCACTTGCTTTATTTATATCAGGGAACATCAAAGGTTTTCCATGGAATGTTCTTTGCCAAAAAAGGTAGGAGGTGGGCTGTCAAGTTCCCAATAGGTTATGCCCAACTCCAGAGCTAAGAGGGGTCTCCCTAGTAGAGCAGAGATAGAGGTCATGGGTTTGGGCAATCTAATACAGGGGGTGGTGGGCGGGGAGTCAGTATAGTTCCCAAGGGAAAACATAAATCTCCATGGCTCGACAACAAATAAAGACCCTCAAGTAATTTGCGGGTAGCTCCCCGCACCAACACACATCAGGACTAATGGAACCAGTGAGCCTAGCTCTCTCCAGCATCTCTAACCAATGCTTCCCCCAGGCAAAATGCCCCCAGTCTGAATGTTCACAGGATTGCCTGGCCATAAACAACCCATGCAGACCCACTCACTATCTGACAGATAAGGACGTAAGATGCCCCAGTCTCAGCCATGTTGCAGTCCCAGGATCTCAATGGCATTCCACCTTGCAGAGAGACCATGAGACATGTGCACAAATGAGTGACCTTGCAAAGAAGCGGCAAAATGGTGGCCACCAGCACTCCCAGCAGGAGGACCATAGGGCAGCCAAAACCTAGGCACCCTGACACTAGACCTCAGGCCCTGGGTGGTGTTCTCAGGCAGAATTGGCTGCACTGAGATGGTGATAGCAGCAAACCTGCAAGCACCCTGGCCCACAAGGCCCTGGCCACTGTCCCAAGATGGAGAGGGCTGTGTGCAACCAACCCTGCAGGCAACTTGGCAATGGACCTCTGGGTGACAGTGGCGGCAGTGGCACCCTGAGAGTCCCCACTGCTTCTTACCACTGTCACCACTACTGTGCAACACAATTTCCAAGGGAAACTCTGGAATCCTTGAAGGGCTCTGACATTACTCTAATCCTGAGACCAGACCTCAGAGAGGGAACTGCAGTCCCTGAATTGGGACACCAAAAGTCAATGGGAATCATTTGATGGCACTCAAGCTGCAGAGCAAAGGGGCTACTGTAATGGGCAGGAGAGTCAAAACAGCAAACAGAATAGTCTGACTCCTGCAGCCTAAGAATGTGAGTTCATGGTGTTCCTGGAAGTGAAAGACATGAGGGGTTTACTAAATCCTCACTGGATCTGAGTAAACAGAAGAGTTTAAGACCAAGGGGGAAGGTCTAACTGGAATAATAAAAACAGCTGTATTACCTCAATCAATTCCAAGGCCTAAGCCAGATTAGAAACCCAGAATGATCTGAATGAAGAGGAGGTGTGTTGCAATGAGTAAAAACTTGGAACACAAGTGCAAAATTATACTTTTAATGTTAGTCCCAACATCCTCTACAGAGACGTAAGGCCTATTACCTTGGTAACCACAACCTAGGAAAAATGAAATAACCAGAACTCTTTCTGGCTACAATACCACACTACAATAAACAACTATATATCTAAATGCTATATGAACACATTCAAAAGCCCAGAAATAATGCCAGGATTGTTGTGAAGTTGCATGAGCACATTGTTAACTGTACAGGTTATTATCAAGTTACATATCAAAAGATTAATTCAATTTGTGCTCTGACCAACAAATATGATAGCTATGTTAATCCTTTTCCTATTCACCACTTGGTACAGGTATATTTAAGTGGTTGTCAATTTGATGGTTATAATAATTGCCCATTGTGCTTTTAATCTGTGCTCCTGGGTATTTCAGATTGTAGAATCTTGGGGCAGGATTATATGCTGTGAATTGCTCGTAGCATATGCCCATATGTCAGAAGAAGTAACTTTGGTAGAAATTCTTCTTATACTTTGGATATTAATCCTATCCTTGAATAAATAAAACAACATTTCAAGTAAAGAGTGTTCTGCAGTGCAATGTATTTCTTATTTTTGTTTGAATATAAGGGTTTTTTTATTATTTATACTGGGGAAAAAATAAAATAAATAGAATTGTTTTAAATGTTCTCTCCACTATGCACACCCATACCCACATGCATACAACTTACTTCTAATTAAAGGTGACGAAAGGTTGAGGAATAACAGCAACAACAAGAAAAAAAAAAAAAAAAAAACACTATCAAGGGTGAAGAGCACTGGGGAAAAAACAGAAAAAATATTTTATTCCTTAAGCACAAGATGATTTGTTTTGAGCCAGCAAAATGTTTGAGATTGCCATCTAGACTACCTGTTAGTTTAAGAGTAATCCTTAAACTCTACTTACAAAAACAAATTTGGCAAAATCACGGGTTTTAGTTACTCTACAATATGAAGGAAGCACAAAATATCAGTCACTCTCCATTAATTTTTATTGTTCAGGGTTCTCCAGGGAAAAAGAACCAAGAGACTTATTGTAAAAATTGGCTTATTGGTTATGGAGCCAAGAGAGTCCAGTGTTTGTCTGAGGCTGGAGAATCAGGAAATCAAAGGTATAATTCAGTTTGAACTAAGGACCTGGGGCTGAGAGTTGTTGGTTTAAGGCCAGACTGTCATTGAGCCCGAGAAACAATGATGGCCTGTCATATCCCAGACCAGGGAAGATGGACACCTCAGATCAAACAGAGGAATTTGTCCTTCTTCTAACCTTTTGTTTTGTTGGGGCCCTGAAAAGATTGGATGATGCCTACTCACACAAGGGATAAAAACTTCTTTGCAGAGCCTACTTACTGATTTAAAAGTAAATCTTTGCAAGAAACACCCTCAGAGAAAGACCTTGAAATGTTGTTATGGGTTTTTTTTTTTTTTTTTTGTACTGGGGATTGAATTCAGGGGTGCTCAACCCCTGAGCCACATCCCCAGCCCTATTTTGTGTTTTATTTAGAGAGGGTCTCACTGAGTTGCTAATTGTCTCACCATTGCGGAGGCTGGCTTTGAACTTGTGATCCTCCAGTCCCAGCCTCCTGAGCAGGTGAAATTACAGGCATACACCACTGCACCCAGCCCAGAAACAATGTTTTACTAGCTATCAGGGTAGACCTCAGGCAGTGGGTTGACACATAAAATCAACCACCACCTTGATTGTATAAGAATTCCAAACTCATTTAAATTTGTTGACATAATATGTTTATTTAACTAAAACAAAACATACAAAGAATTCCTGAAGTTATAAATGATGTCTGTCATTGTATTTTACAGAGAACATTGCACCATCAATGTTGTATTGTCTTTTCATCACTGTGGAAAAACATTTTTTTAAAGAGAGAGAGAGAGAGAGAATCTTAACATTTATTTTTTAGTTTTCAGTGGTCACAACATCTTTGTTTGTGTGTGGTGCTGAGGATCGAACCCGGGCCGCACGCATGCCAGGCAAGCGCACTACCGCTTGAGCCACATCCCCAGCACGAACTGTGGAAAAACATTTGAAGACAGTAAACTAAAGAAAGAAAAATTGATTTGTGGCTCAGTGTTTCAGAAGTTTTAGTCCAAGTTTGGTTGACTATATTGCTTTTGGCTCTGAGGTAAGGCAGAATATCACAGCAGCAGGAGCTTTGGAGAAGAGATGGTTTAATTTATTGTAGCAATAAAAAATAATTTACAGTTTAAATAGAGGAAAAGGGGGAGGGAGATGTGGGAGGCAGGAAGGTGCCTGGGACATAAAGAACCTTTTAAAACACGACTCAACAACTCTACTCCTAAAGTTTTCCTCACCTCTCAATAGCACCGTAGTCAACACATGGATCTTTGTGGAACATTCCAGATCCAAACTATAATAAACATCAGCTCAAGGTACAGAGAAGTAGTTGATAACACAACCAAGATTAAAACTCTTTGTTGAGGTAGGTTTCTTGTTCTAGCAGTCAGAGGCTCAGTCTATGATTACTGAGGTTAGCACAGGAAATGGTTAAGAAAAAGTGCAGGATTGGACTGTCACAAAACAGAACAAAGAGCTCAAAGTTGAAATTGAAGTTAATGGATCTTCATGGGGGTCATCAGATCTTGGGGTGGTAGGGGCGAATGGGTGGCAAAGGAAAGATGCCGGTGGCTGCTATGATGGATGGGAGAGTGAAAGCAGCAATTAGAACAGTCCACCTCTTGTAGAAGTAGGGTATGGGCTCATGGTGTACCTACAAGTGACATACAGATACACCTTTTAAATCCTCACTAGATCTGAAAAAGCAGAGGAGCTCTAGGCTGAGTGACTAAGTCTGACTGACATGCTGGAGGCCTCTGGATTGGCAGTTCACTCTTTGTTTGCTCTAAGGAGGAAGAGCAGGAAGTAGATTGGCAGAAGATCAGTAAGGACTGTCATTTCACTGAATCACATTTCCAGAAGCTTCTTGGGAGCATCTTTAACCTTCAGAAAAGAAACACGTTATTTCAACTCTCTGAAGAAATCCTACTTCAGTTCTCCTGCATGACCCCTCATCAGTCACTCCCCAATTCATAGCCATGCTCACCTTGGGTCATGTTTCCCTCCTCTATGACCCAAGGGTCCTGCAGCCTCTACCACCCTCCTCCCTTCTTTCTCACAGGCCAGAGTCAGCCCCAGCCCTGCTGTAGGCCTTGGTGTCTCAGGACTGCAGCTGCAATGACTGGATCTGCTCCCTGACTGGGAGCCTGCTCCTCCTCCAGATAGGAGGGGCCATAGGAACTGGGGGTGGAGAGAGTCCTGAACAAAGAAAGGAGCCTGGAACCTGGTTCCTGGGCCTTGGCTGCAGATAACATCTTTCTTCCCTCTTCTCCCTCAGCCTCTCCTTACCTGGGAGCAGCAGAGCTCTAAAAGTGACTGGCCCTGCCTACTCCCTCTACTCTGGTTAAGTCAGCTGGAGCATCACACTCCAGCAGCTGCTCAGCCCCTCTAGTCTCTGCCCTGACAGGGAGAATTTCTCAGAACTCAGGGCTGAGCATGGCCAAGCTATTGCTACCAGTGAGAGGAGGGAGGCCTGATTCTTCTGTCTCATCTCAGAATGAGAAGGACCAGTCAGAGTGCAGACTGGGACCTTGGGAGTTCACTTTCCTGTCCTCATTGCTCACACAGCTGCCCCATGTCTCTCTCTCCATTCTGCCCACAGCACCTGTCAGGAAGATCTGGAGGCCTAGGTGTATGAAGCAGGTGAGGATCCAGAGCAGGGCCAAGGGAACAAGTGTGCTGGCTGCGGACTCCTGGAAGACTCTGTCTATGATGGCACTTGAAGGTCCTGACGTGGAAACACAAGAGCGTTAGCCCTTGTTCAGAGCAAAATCTGTGGAGATGCCTGCTCAGCTCCTGCTGCCCCGTCACTCAGGCAGGCACATAGTTCCTAGACCTCTGTGATATGGCAGCTATTGTGACAGGTCATGAGGAGGAGGGAGACAGGAGAAGGGCCATGTCCTTAAGGAACTCATATAGATAAAGGGAGAAGCCTGGGTGACATACAACTCATCCTTCCTGGTGGCAGAATATGAGGTGACCCATGAGAATGATGGTGGAGAAGGGTCTCAGGAACTGTCATGTGAAGTGATTCACAAGAATTTCCAAAAACAGACCACCAAATGCCAGACCAAAGCATGTGCATTGAGGAAGAGGCATTAGGAGGTGAGAAGGAAAAAGATGGGAAGACTATACCTTTGATTGTTAACCTAGGTCTCTCTCTCTCTCTCTCTCTCTCTCACACACACACACACACACACACACACACACACACACACGCAGCAGCATCTCATGTGAAGGCAGCTCCCACTTCCTCCCCCGCCTGCCAGTTACCTGTTGGCTCCAGCTCTGGCTTCCATTGCACCAAGAACTTCTGAAGCCAGGTTCTACAGTCACCTATTGAGGACCTGTGTAAGAATTCTGTCACCTCCTTGTCATTTTCCCACATTTCTTTCATCCAGTTGGACCCAGAATGCATCTCTCTCCACCTTCTGTTGTCTGAGTCAAAGTGGAGCCACATCCGTCCATTGAAGCCAAACTGCCAGGAGCTGTTGGATTTATGCTGACAACACATCCTGCCCTCCAGGGTGTGCAGACCTGCCCCCATCAGAGAGAAATCAGCCTCTTTTCTTAACAAATCTTTTGTCCCACACAATACCACCTTCCCCGGTTTCCTAATCTGGCTGTGTTCTGTCTGCCAGTCCAGCCCTGTCTGGGCTTTCTGGAGTGACCAACATCTAATTTTTTAAAAAACATGCACACAATCAATTTCCCTCAACCCAATATCAGCTCTCTCATGTCCCTGGACCATCCTCACTTACCCCTGGCCATGTCATTTTCTGCTTTAATGTCAGCCAGTTTCTGTTTTAGCATATCCCCCATTTCTCTCAGCATGGTGTTTTGCTCTTCCCAGGTGATTGTGGCGCTCACTTTCTCTCCCAGGGCACTCAAGGATTTGACCTTGTCCAGGCCACAGTCATAGGAGAGAAAATTCTTCTGGTCCACCTGGGCTTGGACTGTACACCATTGCTGTCCAGTTGCTGCCTTAGGATTGATGGTGAAGTCATAGCAGAGAGAGTGAGTGCCTGTAAGGGAAAAGGGCGAATAAGGGTTGGGCTGGTGAGAAAGGATCCTTTAGGCACCCTCTCCCCATCCCTCTGAAGGGCTGAGCTGGCAGAGCAAAATGACCCTTCCCAAGCTCTCTGCTCTACCTGTTTCAGGTGGGCATGTTCCCCTTCTTTGAGGAGGAGGGGACAGCAACCTCATGTCCCAGGACATGGCCCACTTCCCCTCTGCCCTTTGAACAATGCCTACACCCAGCAGCACATCACCTTGCAATGGCGGTGCCAGGCCTGCTGTGAGGGGAAGGCCTGCCTGGCAGAGGATGATCAGAAGCAGGAGAAGGGAGTGCGCATGCTGGGTCATGGTGGGGCAGTGAGGATGGGATCACAGCTGAATGTTGGAGAGTTCATAATTATGGTTCATAGCTTTTATCTTGAGTGTTAGGAGATGGCACTAGTGCCTCAGGGAATTGCGTTCTTTTAGGTTGGAAAGTGATATCCTACCCTGAGTAAAATGGGAAATCTATAAGTTCAAAGAAAAGTAGTAGAGGAAGAAAACAAAAGTACACACTTTGAGGATCATAAAAGGGTACATGCCATGTTGCATGTCATATAATAGCCAGAAAAATGCCTAGTCCACTGTGCTTTATAAGAAAGCCTGGCAGATTCTTGTTTATCAAGTGTATTTGAAAGTGTCTGGTACCTGAGCCAGACATGGTGGTGCACACCCAAAATCCCAGTGGCTTAGGAGGCTAAGTCAGGAGAATTGCAAGATTAAAGCCAGCCTCAGTAACTGTGAGAAACTAAGCAACTCAGTGAGTCCCTGTCTCTAAATAAAATTCAAAATAGAGCTGGGTATGTGGCTCAGTGGTCGAGTGCCCCTGAATTCAATCCCTGGTACCCAATAAAAAAGAAAATATCTGGTACGCTAATCCAGAACCAAAATTAGTAGAAAGGAAGAAATAATAAGATCAGAGCAGAGCACAAATAAATGAATTAGACATGAAAAGTCAGCACAAACAATTAATGAAATAAGGAGCTGCTTCTTCCAAGAACTAAACAGAAGTGATAAACCCTTATCTGGACTAAGTAGGCAAAGGAGAGAGAAGACTCAAATTCAGACAAGAAAAGGGAGACATTGACTCCATAGAAATACAAAGGGTCATTTGAGATTATTAGGAACAAAGATATTCATGTTTGTTATTATTTGCAAAAATTTGGAACCTAGAATAAATAAACAAATTCCAGATCACTTATACATATATACCTTACCCAAGTTGAATCATGAAGAAATAAAAAAAAAAACTGAGCAGACCAATAAGACATAACAAGATTGAATCAGTAGTAATAGCCTTCCAGCAAAGAAAATCCCAATACAAGAGAGCTTTATTGCTAAGTTCTGCCAAATATTTAAAGAAGAACAGTTTCTAGTTTTCCTTAATTTATTCCCAAAAATAGAAGACAAAGAAATTATTCTAACTACATTTGATAAGATCAGTATTGCCATGATATCAAAACCTGACAACACACAGAGAAATTAATCAAGTAATTAGGATGCCATCAATTAAAAAGCATCTACACAGCAATGGACACAGGAGCATGAACAAAAAGTCTGCACAATGAAAGAAATTCTTTGCCACAGTTCCTTTGACAGAAGATTAACATCCAGAATATATAAACATCTCAAAAAACTTATCACCCCAAACTCAAATAACTCAATCTGTAAATGGGCAAAAGAACTAAACAGATATTTCTCACAAAAAGAAACATAAATGCCAAAAAATATTTGAATAAAATGTTCAATATTTCTAGTATCAGAGAATTACATTGGAGAAATGCAAAATTACACCAAGATTTCATCTCATTCTACTCAGAAGGACAATTATCAAAAATACAGATAATAATAACAAATACTAGTGAGGATGTGGAGAGAAAGGTACACTCACACATTGTTGTTGGGACTGCAGATTAGTACAACCTCTCCAAAGAGCAGTACAGAGATTCCTCCAAAAACTAGAAATAGAACCTCCACACAACTCAGCTATCCCACTCCTTCATCTTTATTTAAAAGAACTAAAATCAGCATACTGTAGTGACACAACCACTTTAATGTTTATAGCAGCACAATTTACAATAGCCAAATTATGAAATCAGTCCAGATACCCATCAAGAGATGAATGAATCAAGAAAATGTGGTATATAGACACAATGAAGTTTTACCCAGCCATAAAGAATAACGAAATCATAGTATTTTCCAGTAAATGCATGAAAGTGGAAAACATCCTGCTAAGTGAAATAAGCCAGACTCAAGGGTCAAATATTTGTTTTCCATTATATTTGGAAGCTACAGAGAAATAAGGGAAAGAAGGTGTTTGGGACAATCAGATATCATAACGATACAGGGAAGATCAGTGGAGTAGAAGGAGATAGGGAGGGGGAAGGACAGACAAGGTAGGAAATGCAGAATGAATTTAACAAAATGATGTTATGTGCATATGTAAATATACCATAGAGAACTTCCCCTTTATGTGTGTGTGGACAGCTTCAATCAAGGATGGCTAAATAATGAGTGAGGGGAAGTTCAATGGAAGGGGAAGAAGAACAGGTACTGGAATGGAGTGGGTCAGATTCCATGCATGTGTGGTTGTGTTGGGATGATCCAGCTACCATGAATAACTATAATGCTCCAATAAAAATAAAAAAGAAAGGATTTTGAAATTTGCAGAGATATATGTTCAAACTGCTTTGAACAGAATATAATGTACACATGTATCAAAACTTCACATGGCACCCCTTAATATGTGTAATTGTGATGTTTTTTATGTATCAGTTAATAACATAAAACAAGTCTGCTCACAAGGGCACGAGCACTGTCTAGAAGGTCACTGATGATGATTGCTAAAGGCTGGGGTCTATGGTGGAAGTTACAGTTCAGAACTGGGATTCTAAAAGTAAAGGGGAAGAAAAATACTGATAGACCCCAAATAGAGGCCATGAAAAGGTAGAAGGAAATGTGTGCCATGATGCATACAGTCAGAAAGGGGCCTGATCCTCAGGGAGCTAAGCCTGGTGTTGGGCAGGCAACTCAGATTCTGCCTGATTTCAAGAAGTAAAGCAAAAGCCAAGGATGGATGTTTAGAAGGCTGAAAGCTGACACCCACCAAAAGTCTGGTTGTTTGCTCAGTTTCCAGACCTCGGTCATGTCTCAGAGCCTGAACTCATTCCTAGGAGGAGAGACCAGGATCCTATCAGGAGAGACCCTTCAATCCCAGAGTCAGTTCAGTGTCCCCTTTCAGATTATGCCACAGAGCCATCCCCCATTCATGTGGGTCTCTGTGCACAGAGAAAGAGAAAACATGCAGACATTCATCCTGGAGATGGTGTGCCCTGACCTCATATCCAGGCATCTGAAGCATCACCAGGGCCCCGTGGTATTGATAAAGGTACATATGGGGCCAGGAATGAATTGACCTATCCTACTTCCTGCTGAAATAGGAGTCATTTCAAATTCCCTGAATTTGTAATAGAAATGAACAATCATGGGCTTAGTGAGTCACTGGTTGGCATTGGAGCTACCCTAGTAGGGAAAGCCAAGTACAATCTTCTGACACTGTCTCCCCCATTCCCCAGACACTGCTTTTAAAGTAAGATCTCATCCTAGAGAAAATATGGAGATTTGTGCCAACCTAAAACCTTGAAGGATGCACGTGGGTCAACTCTATCCTCTCCTGTTATTCCCAGCCTGGGCCCTGGAATTTTCTGTAATATATTTTAGGCTTTATAGTCTTTGTTACAATCACTCAATTCTGTTCTTGTAGCACATAAGCAGCCATATTGACCTACATTTCTTTCTTTTTTATTTTTATTTTTTAAAAAATTTTTTAGTTGTTGATGGACCTTTATTTCATTAATTTATATGTGGTGCTGAGACTCGAACCCAGTGCCTCACACATGCTAGGCAAGTGCTTTACCATTGAGCCACACCCCAACACTTGACCTACATTTCTACAAATTATGCATGTTTCCCCTTCTCCTGTCCCTGCATATCCTTACTGGCTTTAATTGTAATTTGTAGCCTTGATACTTGCCATTGTAGTTGGAGATTAAATTTTAGTGTAGTTTTTCATGTATTTGTTGCCCAGCTGTACTTCTTTAGAGAAATATGTTTAGTTTATTTGCCCTCTTATCAATTGGGTTAGTTGTACAATTACTTTTAAAAATAAGATATTTGGGAAATTAGGAATGAAACTACCATATGATCCAGCTATCCTACTATTTGATATTTATCCAAAACAATTGAAGTCAGCATACTATATAGATAAAGGTATAGCCATGTTTATAGCTGCACAATTGACCATAACCAAGTTATAGACCCAGCCTAGTTGTCTGTGGACAAATAGGTAAAGTAAATGTATATTCACACAATGGAGTTTTATTCAGCCCTAAAGAAGAACAAAATTATATTGTTTGCAGAAAAATGGATGAAGCTGGAAAGGATCATGTTAAGTGAAATAAACCAGACTCAGAAAGTTAAGGGTCATATATTTTTTCTCATATGTGGAGGCCAAGGGGGGAAAATATGAAAATAGAAGGGAGACCACTAGTAGGGTAGATAAATAGGATCAAGGGGTAGGAGGAAGGAAGGAAAGGAGAGGTACTAGGAAATGAAATTGTTCAAATTATGTTATACATATGCACGTTGAATGAATATGTCATAATGAATTTCACTATTATTTTTAAATTTTATTTAATTTTTTTAGCCATGCTGGGGCTCAAACCCAGGGCTTTGAAAATGCTGGGCAAACACTCTACCACCCAGCTTGCTCCCAGTCCTACTGTGTATAATTATAAGGCAGCAATTAAAAAAGAGAAAATAAACAAATATTTGTGAAGTATTTGCAATTCATTATAATTTTACATAGTAGTGAGATGTACATCATATTCAAATATACACATAGTCCAATCTGGTAGATTTTGTTGCCCAGTACTTACCAATACTCTCCCTTCATTCCTCCCTCTCCAGCCCCTTCCTTTACTCTATTGTTTTCTATTTCCCTCTATTTTCATGAGATCCTTCCTTTATTTTTAAATTCTATTTCTTTTTTAGCTATTTTCTAGGCAGAAAATAATCAACCTTTGACTTTCTCAGTCTGTCTTATTTCACTTAGCATAATGTTCTCCAGTTCCATCCATTTAGCAGCAAATGATGTAATTTCATTCTTCTTTATGCCCCAATTAAACTCCATTGTGTAAATAGAGCACATTTTCTTTATCCACTCAATGTTGATGAGCACCTAGATTGGTTCCACAACTTAATTATTATGAATTGCACTGCTATAAACACTGGTATGCACATATCATCATAGTACCTTGTTTTTGGTTCTTTTGTGCCTCAGTCTGGCTGGGCACAAAATAACTGAGCCACCACAAAAGCCTTGTAGATTCAAACAGCAACTCTTTATTCCCGAACTCTCACCAGCACTCTACACGCATGTTCTGGGGAAAATACACCCCCTCCACGGGGCTCTGCTTACCAAATACTCTCAGAACCCTGCAAGAACTCCATGGGAACTCAAGGACGCCTGAGGCAGCAGGATATGCCCTATTCCCAGCAGGATCCACCCTAAACCCGGATCCACCCTAAACCCGGAGCCAACCTAAACCCAGAGCCACCCTAATCCCTGAGCAGGGTCACCTTTCAAACCAAAACTCTCAAACATTCATGCAATGTCACTGCAAATGACCTGGGTCCAAGGCAAGCCCATTTCCACAATGGAGAGTCCTCCCTCTAAGCAACATTGGGTAGGCTGACAAGGAAATTGCCATGCCTCATTCCTACTTGGCTATGGCTCTCAGCACTTTTGGATAAATACTAAGTAGTGGAATAGCTGGGTCAGTTCCATTCCTAGTCTTTTGAGGAATCGCCATATATCTTTCCAAAGTGGTTAAACCAATTTGCATTCCTATGAACAATGGATGAAAGTACCTTCCCCCACATCCTCATCAGAAATTGTTGACATTTGTAATTTTGGTGATTATTATTCTAACTGAGGTGAGATAAAGTCTCAATGCACTTTTATTTTGCACTTTCTTGATTGCTAACAATGTTAAACATTTTTCATATATTTGTTGGCCATTTGTGTTTCCTTTGAGAAATGTCTGTTCTTTGGCCCATTTGTTGATTGGGTTATTTATTTACTTATTTTTGGTGATAATTTCCTTTGACTTCTTTATATATTCTGGATAATAGTCTCGTCAGAGGAACAGCTGGCAAAGGTTTGCTCCCATCACGTCCGCTCTCTCTTCATGTTCTTAATTGTTGTCCTTGTTGTGCAGAAGCTTTTATTGATGGCATCACACTTATTCATTCTTGGTCTTATTTCCTGTACATTGGGTGTCTTCTGAAGGAAGTTGGTGCCTGCACCTATGTGCTGGAGTGTTGACCCTCTGTTTTCCTCTAGCAGTTTCAAGATTTCTGATTGTTTTGGCTATTCTGGTTCCTTTATACTTCCAGATGAATTTTATGACTGCTTTTTCCCCCCTGTAGTTTTGTGAAGGTTGTCATCCACATTTCAATGGGGATTGCATCAAATCTGTAGATCCCTTTTGATTAAATGGCCATTTTAACAATATTAATTCTGTCTATCCATCTTCTACGGTATTCCTTGAACACAAGGTCAGGTGCATGCAGCCCTACCACTGAACTCCATCCCTGTTCCTATTGTGTGTAATTATAATACACCAATTAAAAAAGAAAAAAAAAATTTGCGCTTGGCTCTTTTTCTTTATCAAAAATACAGACGCATTTCAGATGTACATTCTTGATAACAACTGAATAATTCTCTAGTAGAAGGATTTATCATACTTTTGTTAACTATTTGCCTAGTGATTGAAATCAGGATATTTCAAATGTAAGAAAATTATTTTTTTGATATTTATAATTTTAATTAATTCCATATTTTTATTGGTGCATTATAGTTGTCATTACGGGTGGCATTTTCGTACACGCACAATACAGCAACAGAATTTGGCCAATATATTTCCCCAGTGTTTCCTTTCTCTCCTCTCCTCCCTCCCCTGGTCTCTTTCCTCTTCTCTACTGATCTCTCTTTGATTTTCATGAGACACCTGTCTCCCACCCCCCGCCGCCTTCTTTTCCTTGAATAGAAAATTCTAAAAAGTACATTATCACATGAACTTGGAAGGGACTGGACCTGCCACTATGACTCAGGACGACCTGTGATAGAGACATCTGTGCTGGGCAAAGGGGCCTCCTTCAGGGCAATTCCTTTCTGGAAACGCACAATGCAGCCCCTGGAGTGCAGAAATGCCACCCGCAGCGGGAAAACGCACAGCCGTTCACAGTGGCTCTTTCCCAGGGGGATCCAGGGCCCACGGAGAGAGAGGCTCGGCCCCCACTTCTGAGGGCGGAAGAGACGCCGACGCTGTCACTCCTCCTCCCCTGTCACCTCTCTCCCGCGCATCCTCCAGCTCCCGCGGCTCCCACCACAGGCGCAGAGTCCAGAACCTGCCGCGGGGACGTGGACCGGCGGGACAGAGCCCGCAGGGAAAGTCTGGGGACTGAGGAAGTTCGATATGCAACTCACCTGCCCGCGACGCCAGAAGAAAGTTGGGCAGGAACTGAGCGAGGACGCCGAGAACGAGTGCCGCGCGGACCGCACCCTCCATGGCCTGGAGCTCTGGGCCCTGGAGACCCGCCTCCGGGCGCCAAGACTTAAAGCCTGAGGCCCCTCCCCTCCCGCGCCCGGCGCCCTCCTTTCCCTCCGCTGTCCCGGGCGGAGACACCTGCGGCCGGTGCTGGACGCCGCCAGGATCTCTGCGACCGGCCGGGCAGGGCAGGACGCATCCCCCGCTCGCCCCCCCCCCCCCCCCCTTGCCACCGGCTTCCGCTCTCCCTGCCGCACTCGCTGTGAGGCCCAGGCTGTTACCTGGATAAGGTGGACCCAAAGCAAAGGATCAAGTTGGAGACACCAGCCTCATCGTCTTCCCTGCCTCCTCTGGGGACTTCTTGGGCCCAGGTGTTTAACCATCTGCATTCCCACCTTGGGTCTCATCCCTTCCATTCTGAAAAGACCAAAGAATTTCGGACCGTCTGAAATCAATGTGGTTGAAGGCAGTTGTTGGGTAGCCTGCCATCAAGGATAGTTTTGAGTAGATTTTGTGCCTCTGGAGCCTAAAACCTTCGGGAAAAACTCTCTGAAAGCAAAAGTGAAAGCAACTTCTCCTTTAGGAAAAGCTCCCACAGTCAGACAGGAAGTGCCCAGCAGCTCTACCGCCTGCATGAGACAGAAAGAATCTTTTTTTTTTTTTTTTTCCTAATACCTTTATTTTACTTACTTATTTTTATATGGTGCTGAGGATCGAACCCAGGGCCTTCCAAGTGCTGGGCTAGCACTCCACAGCTGAACCACAACCCCAGCCCCTCTTTCATCCTTTTCTTTTGAGGTACTGAAGATTGAGTCCAGGGGTGCTCTTCCACGGAGCTACATCTTCTGCTCCTTTGGAAATTTTTCTTTTGGATAGCAGGTCGCTAAATCATCCAGGCCTCCTGCTTCAGCCTCCAGGGAGGTGGGAACACAGGCAAGTGCAGAAGCACTTGATGAGGATTAATGTCTTAAAGTTTCCTGTGGTCACATTCATTGTTATCTCCTCAGGATCCAATCATCTGAACATCCATCCAACCACCAGGTAAGCCCCATTTAAATAACTTCAAATACACACTTCAGCCCTGAGTGGGAATTAGTGAACTGATCACCTGAGCCTGAGGAGACTTCAGCTTCTTGATGAGTGGCCCCTGATCTGAGATCTCTTACACAGCCATTCACAGGTTCAGACACAGGAACTACACACAGGGCCCCATCTCATGGCCTGGGTATCAGGCCTGTGGCATCAGAGAAGGGAAAACTAATCTAAGAGGACTCTGGCTTCTTGATGAGTGGCCCCTGGTCTGAGATCTCTTATTCTGTCATTCAGAGGTTCAGACACAGGGCCCCATCTCATGGCCTGGGCCTCAGGTCTGTGGCATCAAAGAAGGGGAAAGTAACTACTGAGTTAGGAAAGCCCTGGTGAGGGATAGGCTTGTCTAAGTGCAGGGCACTTGCATAATCTCTTCCTTCACCTTCATTCCACCAGAGAGCACTAACTGACAGAAGTGGAAACTGATGCAGGAAAGTGTTTAAAAACAGGAAGGCAACACCCCTCAGTCAAAATGTCATGACTTCTATTTCTGAAAGTCCAATCTCCAACTCACACTCTTTCAGCCAACTCTGAAGCTGATTCCATCTCCATATGGGATCTGCTTTGAGTTTGGCAGCCAGGAACTTCCTCCTGATCCACTTGCTCTACTCGACTAATCTCCCTACTGTTGTTGTTATTGTTTTAATTAGAATACTATATATGTAAGAGTTTAGCTGTTCAACATTTTGATTTGACCTTGTGAAATCCAAAGTGGAGACATCCATTGAACCAACTCAGATTTCTGACCTGTAGACTGTAAGATAATAAATGGGTTGATTTAAGCAGCTAGGTTTGGGGTAATTTGTCATTATTGAATATAAAACAAATAGCAACTCCTTCACATTTTAAGTGAGAATTTGACTAGATATAAAATTCTTTTCTTCAATACTTTAGAAATAATATTCCTTTGTCCTCATGTGACCAGGACTCTATTGCTCTGCTTCTTCTTACTTGTTTTTCAGGGCCATCTGGGAAGGGAGCCAGAGGCTGTGGGTTTGTCACCTCTTCTGAGTCTACTTGGCTGCTGGTCATGGTCTCTTGGAGGTGGGGAGGTTTAATATCTTCCCCTACTTCTTCATAAGTGCACTCATAGATATGACAAATTAATGTTTGTATGTGATGTGGGTACCCATGTTTCCTGAACCTTGCTCCCAGATATTTGTTTCCCTATTTCTCAAATAGGTGGAAGAACAAGTCTACTTTGAAGTATTGTTGTGCAGCTCAATTAAAATAATGGATGCAGTAGTGTAAGTGTAGTGCCTGGCTCATGATTCCAGGAAGTAAACTGTAGATTTTTTTGTTATGAGTAGCAGAAGATCTAGGTGGTAAAACTAATGCATATCATCTTGACAAGTCACTTAATTTTCTTTGGGTCTTTTTTTTTCTATTAAAATACAATTTATCTTAGTAGTCTGGGCAAGACAAATTAAAACCACAAGGAGAAAACATTGAGACCCACTAGATTGGCAAAAACTGGACAGTATTAAGTACTGACAAAGTCTGTGCTGGAACAACACAGACTCATAAAATACAGAGGCAAATGCCACTAATTAATGGACCTTGGAAAACAATTTAGATTTTTTCAATAAAGGGGAAATGCACATACCTTACATCTTCAATTATACTCCTAGTTACCTGTGCTAGAGAAATTTCTATAGAGAAAAATGTTCTATATATTTAAGGTCAATATCATATGCAGTGGTTATTCATCTTCGTTTTCCTTTATGTCTGATAAATGTTATATTCATTTGGTAAATAATTAAATTTTCATAATGAATTAAAACATACATCGAAAAGTTAAAAAACAAATTTTGATTATCATATGTAATCAAAATCTTATTTGTTTCAGAATTGAGACTATTTCCAGTTGACCCGAGTACTGGGAATAAAGCTCAGTGGCCCAGCACTGGCCTAGCATGTACCAGTACTATTGTTTGGATCTATAATTAACCCCCAAAGCCCCTGGGTTAAAGACTTGGCCCTAGTTTAGCAGTATTGGGACTTGGTGGAAACTCTAAGACGTGTGTGTGTGTGTGTGTGTGTGTGTGTGTGTGTGTGGGGAGTGAGGTGTTGGAGGGGATTACACAGGGGTGCAATGAAATCTCCCAAACTGGGAGCCTAATATATTAATTGTCTTAATATTTTGTCTCAGTGATGGAAAGATGGAAAGCTGACTAACAGAGCCAGGGCACAGGTTTGATCCCCAGCACAAAACCCAAAAAGAAACAGAAAATCTGAGCTGCAATGCACAAGCAGACAGTTTCAATTATGTAGATTGACTTGTCTTGCTCCTCTCACTGACCAAGTGTGACCAAAGGGTGAAAGGCAAGAAAGTAACTGGTACTAATTCTTCTTTTTCAAGAGTCCCTATCTATGAGCTTATAGTAAAATGCTTTTCCTAAAATCATTTCTAGGTGGTTGTGGGAATTTGTAAATCTTTGATTACTGTATTTCCTACATCTTTGCCTATTAGCCAGCATTGTGGTTTAAAGATAATGAAATTTTGCTCTGGTTCCTCACACACTGTAAACTCTCAAAAAGACTAAAAGTAACAAATAAGAAATTAAATTTTACATTTAGAATATCTATTGGTAGTACCAATGCAAAAAACTTTAAAAACAGAAAATATTAAATTGAAAAATCTTGATCTTTGCATTTCATTTATTTTTACAGGTTTTTAAAATAATTTTTATTTTTTAAAAGTTAATTCTGCATTACAGGAAAAATAAAAACACAAGCAAAGAACAAAGTCAACCAGTCAGAAGCAGCTTAGTTGGACGTGTTGCTATAGGTTGTATATGCGCAATATCCCATTTTGTGTGATTGAGATCATGGTGTCATGCTTTTCCACACATCATGAGTATTCACAAATTTAAAATCCCAAAGCTACTTTTTTTTGATAACCAAGTATTTTGATATCCTTTTTTTGATGAGTATTTTTTTTGAAAACCAAGAATACACGACACTAATTCGATGTGTTATCCTTTCTTGAGGACAAAAAATTCACTGAAGACAGAAATGGCAACAGGCCTCTAGATAGACATTTTGGCAATTACAACTAAAATAATTCATTCCCTTGATGCTCAATTTAAAATGAGACAGCAACAGAATAAACCAGCTTGTTTTATTACCAAATTTCTACTATTCAAATATTAGCAGAATGCATGTTCCCTTTGAATTAAAGTATTCTTATAGTACAGTCAGAAGATGCACACACACCCATGGCTCACATCAAAATGTAAATCTTTGAGCACTTGCTCCCATCTTTTCCTGTGTGTTTCCCTGTGTCCCTCTGCTGCCAGCCTCATGAACAAGTCCTGATACACAATGCCCAGAGATAAAGCAATTCTATGTCCAAGATGCATCTCTTGTATCAATTATAACAAAAATATATTTACAAATTGGCTAATTCACTAGCACTACTTTTTAGGATTCACTGTCACCTCAGGACAGCTAGAAAGCCTAGATATTGTGAGTTGAAATATGAACTTTGTGCAAAATAAACACAACTTACCAAAAATGCACATACAGATCTTCCAGATATGGCGACACTAACAAAGAGCACTTCCCCTCACCCTTCCTTTTGTCCCTTCACCATTCCAATGACTAAATTCAGGACTTTTCCTAGCCCCAAGAGTTGGATTAACAAGGGTCATTCCCAGAAGACAGTTCTTCCTAAGAACTAACAAAAGTATATTTATATAGGGATAATTTTGCTACTTCTAACAAACTTTGGGCATTAGGACTTATCCTTTAATACCCAGCAAGATTAACTAAAATGCACATATAAAATGGCTAGACAGTCTGAACTAATCTAAGGGGCACAGATTGCTTCTCTGTGCATACTTTCTTCTTCCCCCACCCCCCACCCAGTGAACCTTCCCCCTACCCTCCAAGACATCATGTTCAGCAATTCCATTCCTCTAAATGGCAACCATTCCTATGTAGTAACAAAACCTACTTAAAGGACATTACTTAGCTCTCTACTTTTACCATGTGTTGTGCACTTTTAAACATCTAGAAACACTAGATGTTTCCAACAAGGACTTAAGTTGCCAACTATACATACTGTAGCACTGAATAAATTGCAA